TATACCACAAGATGCAGCGTGGAACGCTCTACAATTTACACAGTAAAGCTTAGTGTAATTGCTTTCAAAAAAAAGAAAAATTCTGTCTGAGCAATTTTTGCACGGTCGAAATTTGGACGCTCAATATTTTGCCCATTTTTGAAAATAAAAAGTGCAACTATAAAATAAGCGATCTTATGTAAATTGTAGAGCTTTTCACGCTGCACCTCGTGGTATATTTTATTGTTTTTAATAATACGTATTTTGAAACAAAAATATGCAATGCAAAGTGCGGCCATTTATTATGGGTCACCCGTTATTCAATAGTTAATGTTACTTGTTGATGATAGAGGGGAGAATGATTCTGATATCATTATTGTGTTAATTTTCGAAGAATTCACTTCCATATTTTAGTGTTATCGAAAGAACATTACTGAATTTATTAAGCATAATCTACTACATCTTAATTGAAAATGACCGTCGGTGTCAAATTGGATATTTCAGTAGGAACCAGACGGATGCTTGCAGAGATTGTTTTAGGAAAAAATTCAAATCAAAACAATAATTACTGGTTTTATTGAGTAGGTAAATTCGAAATTTTTATTTAGTGTTTTACTTAAAACTACGAGTTTATTCAAGTTTTGATCACCTATACGAAGTTAGAAATAATCAGAAACACAAATTGCGCTACTTGATATGAATATTATAGCCTAGAATGCTATGTGGATCATTTTCTCAGGGATTCGTTTAGAAGTAATTCAAATTTTATGTTTGAATATGCTACGATGAAGAGATAATTACTTGAAGGAAGGTATGAATCAACTAAAATACTTAGTCGAAGACTAACTTCAAGAGACGATGATACACTAAATCTTATTTAGCATTTATTCTCATTATAAAATATATTTTCATCCTTAATTAACATAATAATTATGGCAGAATAATCTATTGATATTTTAGCGAGGTTTACAAACTTCTATCTATGGGTAAAACATAATATTAAATTATACTCTTATCAAACAATTGAAATATGTCGTCAAAGAATACTGAATATTATTTTCATAAATATCTTGAAAATTCTCTTTATAATTTAGATAATTGTTCACCTTTATCAATAAGTAATACAACTCTTCCAATAGTTCCCAATTATCTTCGACATCCAATATTTCCTCATGTTTCATCTCAACCAATAACCAATTTATCACTTATTAATACTCAAACAATAACTCTTCTTTGTCGTATAGCTGATGATCCATCTGAAACTGATTTTATCGAGTTTGATTTTAATAAAACACCAAATATTGGTTCATTCGAACGACTATTATCTGATATTTGTCATGAACTTAATATTGATCATATTGATAAATTACGTCGTTTACCTTGTGTTCGTATACGAAATGATCGTGATGTTGAACGTTTAAAAGATAATCATATGTTAGAAGTTATTTTAATAAAAAAATCATAGAAAAAAAAAAAACAAAAAAAACTTCATCATGAAACACATAACAACATGTTTAACATTTATTTAGATTGACAATAGACATTTTGTCAATTGACTATCCCCAATTAGAAGCGATCGATCAACATAAGTCTATGTTTGATTGTAAACATATCTCAAGTCAATCTTTCATAATATCTCAACGTACAATCATTAATTATAAGAATATTTTCAATCATTAAAAACAAAACTATCGAAGACATTGAATATAAGCACGTTTTCGTTTTTTTTTTTTTAATTAACATAAGATCTTCTTTTGTTTATTAATAAAAAAAAAATGTAAGGAAGTCATATACATTAATACTTTTCGATGAACACTAAAATGCTTAAGAAAAAAAAAATCCAAAGAGAGAGAGAAATACGAATAGATATTTATTTTGGGATTTATCGTGTGTTCGCTTCGAACGAAACTTTTTTCGTTATCTAATGAGAACAACAGAAGTAAATGAAGATCATATAGGCATATGCTTACAATGACGATAGTTGATCGACTCTGAACATTATGAATTTAACAAGTTAAAGTTTAGAAATACTAAACATCATGTATAAAAAATTCTATTTTATTTCTATTATACAATTATTTCTTTTTCAAATATCAATATCTATTCATATTGGACATGAAGTTGGTAGTACATCAATGGATTCTACTCATTATGATCGTCAATTATTACATCAACAATGTCCATTAAATAGTGAAACAAAAGATATATATCGAACCAGTTTTTGGGCTGCTATTCGTTCATCATCATTAACAACAAATACTAGTAATCAAAGTAGTTTAATTCCATTTCGTAGACAATTAATTATTAACAATGGAGAAGATCGACTTGTAACAAGAGCTTCATCAAATACAGGTAATGTTAATAATAATACTACTACTCAATTGGGTATTGATCAAGCGGCTGTTGATATTATTGTTGATAATCAAGTAAGAATGAAATGATTCAATAATAAATAATTTTTAAATATGAACCAAAAGGATTCGCTTATTCTATAAGACTCTTTTTGGAATATGCTAAAAATTGTTGGAGACGATCGTTTATATACAGTGGAGAGTGATATTGAACTAACCTGTAGCTTTTACCGTAAGTGAGGCTAAATGCATTTTTTTCAAAAATGATTATTAAAAGAAAAACGAAAATTGAGATGCCTTATCGAAAGACAAAAAAAAAACTTCAAACAGTGGACGTTATGGGGTAGCTTCGGATCTATAAGCTGATATATAAATAAAGATCCTAAGTTTTAGCTGTCGCACAAAATTTCTAAGTCCATATTCGGAAAGAGCACAAAATCATAAATGTTGACTCCATCAGAAATACTTTGTAGTGAGTCAAATGTGAATAAACCTTTTGTCTAAAAACTTTCCGAACACTCTGTTAGATGAAAGAATTTGAAGAAAAAAAAAATTTTATCCTCATTATACTGAATCGTTGTTTAAGTTCGGATTCTTTGCATAAGAGAGATTTAAATAAAACAAAACTAATTTCAAAAGGATGAGTATCTTAACATATTTTCTCCAGAGTTTTAACTATTGTACTGGAACTTTAGCCTATGACACGGTGTCTTCACCATCAAATTGAATGATGATATATATTGATCTGAAATTTTCTTCACAAATAAGTTTACATGTAACTTGAATACTCTGAATATTGAAATTCAAAAAAATATATTTTCCATGAAACTTTGAATTTCAGAAAACTATTTGTCTTGAATGAAAGATACGAGAACATAATGATTTTAGGAAATTTATACCATGCCATAGGATGAAATTTCACGATTGTAGCTATAAGTTCAAAATTATAAATCGTTTACAGGGATTCCCTCGTAAGATTAAAATAAATCTACTACTATTCCAAATGAGTTTTTTGTAAAAAAAAAACAACTTTCGCTGAATCAAATGATATAAAGTATAAATAACAATTCTTTTTTTTTTTTGTCTTTTTAGTGGAACAATAACAGGTTATCGAAAAGTTATTTGAAAACATTGATTTTGAATGAAAATTTTGTATTGTTTACAAATATAGATTCAATATTTTTCTTGATCTTTTGGTTTAGTACTTATGAGTAGACTTGTTTACAGCAATAGTCTTCTTTACTATATACGTTATATTTCTAATTTTCTTTGCATAGAAATAAACTTGAGAGTGCTCTCTACAAAGTAATATAAGAACTAATAATTTCAAATTTCTGCAGATTTTATTTAAGAAAAACGAATATTTTGTCAAATGAATTTTCGATAACATGTTATGACCTAATATATACATTTGTCATGATTAGTGATGTACAGGACCAAGTGTTTATGTATAAAGAAAACTATTCCATAATTTACTCGTATCACAATTAAAAAAACTCTTCAATATTCGTTTCGTACTTTTGTGAAACACGATCTAAAAGGTGTGTTGAAGTGTTTAGGGGTAGAAATTTGACCCCCCCCCCCCCCCCCCCCCCCCCCGCCCCAACCGGCGCCCCGCCGCCCACCCACAACATCCGCCGCCCCGGGCCCGAGCGCCGCCANAGTCGATGTTTTAATTATCTGGAGTAAGTTTATATATATATCTATATAAAAATTGAAAGTAGTAAGAAAAGGACAGATTCATAATTTGAAAAGATCAACCAATTATTGTTCTTTTTTACAGAAAAAATCTTAATATCTTGAAGCAAATCATCAATTATAAGAGTCGAAGATGAATTATATCATTGTCATAATATGGATTCTAATCACTTAGAAAGTATTTTAAAACTCGTATATTTCCCTGTTTCTGATACTATATGTTTATATGAATATTTCTCGAATGTTATTTATTTTTCTTGAAATTCATTTATGAAGCTATAAAATAGTAGATTTTTGTTTGTTACCTAACATATGAAGAATAAAGTTATAAGTATTTAAGTGTAATAAAACTTAAATTTTTTATCAATATATGTGATATGAATGCTGTCGCATTCAATTATAGAATCTCATGTAAGACAATAGTCGACAAGTTTGAAGAATAGTCATTGACTTTTTCTTTTAATCATCAAACTGTAGATTCAGACAGAAAATCGAGTGAATGTGAAGAATTCATCGCATACATATTTATTGTCTTTGAGAAGTATTCGTCTCTTGTGATAATGAATCCTCTATGGAACTTGTCAAAAAAAAGTTTTTCTGAATATATCATACAGAAAAATCTCTCTAAAATAGATACCACGGAAACCGACCAAAAATGTTCACTTTATGGAGGTGTTTATTATTAGGAGAATTTCAATTTCTTTTTTTTGTAATCTAGAAGTACTAAGTTGCAATCATTTGTCAGCTGCATAAAGTGATCTTTTTCTTCTTTCCAACAATTTATTAATTCAATGTTTTATATCAGACAAGTGTTAACATGACTTGATGTTAATAGGTATTAACACGAAAATAACGAGATATATTGCTCACATTAAAGAGATTATTACTGTTCATGGGACCATAAACACGTGTCCACTGTCCAATAGAAGGGGATGCTCACAAAAAGAAATTTTACTGTATGTGAATAATCATCTTCCCTCTGAATGTCTTTCTGCATTTTATAATCTGTTGTTTTTGAATTTGCATAGTTCTACTAATATGTTTCTTTAAACTAGACGTGAAGTAATGAGATTTCTTCTTTCAAATATTCGATATTGGTTAGAAGAATTTAAATTTGATGGTTTTCGATTTGATGGTGTTTCATCTATGCTTTATCATTCACATGGCATTGGTAATTTTTAATTTTATTGATATTCGAAGAAATAATCTTATTGTCATAGGACACCATTTTGCTGGTTCATATGATGAATATTTTGGTTTAGCTGCTGATACTGATTCATTTAATTATCTTCAATTAGCTAGTCATATTTGTCAAACATTTTTTCCAGAATCAATAAGAATTGCTGAAGTATTTTTATAATTATTAAAAAAATAAAAATAAAAGAAAAACTTTAATTTATGAATGTTATTTTAAAGGAAGTATCAGGCATGCCAACATTATGTCGACCACTTGAAGAAGGTGGTGCTGGCTTTGATTATCGTTTAGCTATGGCTATTCCAGATATTTGGATTAAAGTTTGTTATTATTGTATTAAAATAAATATATAAATAAATTCTTTCAATTTTTAAGTTATTAAAAGAAAAAAAAGATGAAGATTGGCATATGGGTAATATAACATGGACATTAATGAATCGTCGATGGTCAGAAAAAAATATTGTCTATACTGAAAGTCATGATCAAGCAATTGTTGGCGATAAAACTATTGCACATTGGTTATTTAGTGAACAAATTTATAGTCATATGTCAGTTGTTAGTGAACGAACAGCCATTATTGAACGTGGTTTAGCTTTACATAAAATGATTCGTTTATTGACATGTGCATTAGGAGGTGAAGGTTGGCTAAATTTCGAAGGTAAATTTACAAAACTACGACAAAAAAAAAAAGAATAGTTTAATAGACATTTTCATATAGGTAATGAATTTGGTCATCCTGAATGGCTTGATTTTCCTCGAACAGGAAATAATGAAAGTTATAAATATGCTCGTCGTCTTTTTTATTTATCTGATGATGATAGTTTAAGATATAAATATCTTAATGCATGGGATAAAGCAATGAATAATTTGGAAGAAGAATATAAATGGTTATCTGCGACGAATACGGTAAACGAACGAATTTCGGCACAGTTAGAGTGACATCGTAAAATCATTACACCCAGTATCGACATTTACAAAAAAAACATTATTCTATACAGTATTCACGTGTAGCGTATGCACTTCTATCGCACAAATATGACTTGTAAGACTAATGATTTTAATATCTTATAGTTTCATTATAAATCACTAGAGTTGAGAAATTTGAATTGGTTTGTTATATTCTTATAGGAAGAGTGTGGATATTACTTTTATGGAACTCACATATATTTTCGAAGAAAATAGTGAGTTTAAGTTTTAAGTTCGAGTTTTTAGGGCTACCCCCTCCCCCCTCCCCCCCCCCCCCATTCAAAACCTAAAAAAACAAAAAAAAAAAAG